GTTTAGGTCAGTTGCTTGAAAATTGAACTCTAAAGATAGGATTCCTTGACTTTCAAAAAACACCTAGGCTATAACAGGTTCTTCTTGACAATCTTAGGAAATTAAATCCTTAAAAAACTGAGCTATTCCGCTAAGGCAATTGGTTCTAGAGGAAACTTGAAAGCCCTGGCCTTATGAGTAGATTACGTTCAAACCATGACATTGCTCGGACACTTGACAATTCGGTGTTTGCTCCACTTCTCTTGTCAGGCTGAAGACTCTGTGATGAGATGAACCCTTCAGTTAACTTGATAACTGTGATTATAATATTAAGCTGTCCCGCTAAAGCAATTGGTTAAATGCCCCGGCTTTATGGATTCAGCTAGCCAGATAATGACAAATTAAATCAAATTTATCTAAGAAATTTTCGGTAAAATGGACTAAGGGAGTTAAGGAACACCTGTTATAGTCAACTACACACGAGCACTCAAGAATTTCATTTTTAGACCGATATTTTTTGCACTGCCTTTGTTGGAAGAGCCTACAAAGCTTGAACAAATGAAAGATTTCAGAGGACTGAGATAAAAGGTCTAGTAATTGATCATGCTAGTTGCGTCATTTTGTCCGCACCCAATTAAAGTGCCAAAGCATGTTGCGACATTTAAAAAAATGACATTTTTTACCAAAAAACCTTAGAAAGGAGGCCAACATAAAGCCGACTCGGCCCTTTGAACATTTGTCAAAGATTTGTAACTCTGAAAGCATTAAAAGAGCTCTTGATTCCTTTGATATTTTTTTGAACTCACATTTGCAATTTGATTCAATTGCGAACAATACTTTACAACATTTTTATCATTTCTCTCTCCTGAAACAAGAAAAAGGAGAAAAACGTCTTCAAACAGAACAATATCAGATATGAAATGTCTGTAAAGCCCAAGCTCGAGAAGCAAATGGGGCACGATCGATTCCATGGACCAGATTGGCAGGCAAAGCACGAGACTCCATCCAAGAAATAACACATAATTTATTCATGTTGCATGCATCTTAGACATACTTAGGTGCATCACGTTCATCATTTTAGCATACATAATTTTGCAGCTTTCAGAGTCAAGCTTCGACTTCAGGATGAAGGTTACTCGACTTGCAAGCACCTTTAAAGAACGATGGTGTAACTCAGCAGCAAGAAGCTACACCTCAACCGACTTTACATAACTACAGATCTCAGAACCAATTTCAAATGGGAGAACCAATTCAGATCAAATCTAGTTCGGTTCAAACTCACCAAGAGCAACATGTTTTCAGTTAACACTTTCAAGCCAGATTTCAATTCCACGACGGAAGATATCCGGCTGTCAGAATTTATCAGTAGGTTTTCCCAGACCAGCTTAGGGGAACCACCGGAAGAACCGTGACCTTTTCGACCCGTAAAGGGAAGCCATTTTTAAACAAACTATTTGCAGCTTAGCTCAAGGCCAGAAGGGTTATCTGCCAACCAAAGACCTTTGAGTTCGACTACGCTCAGCTCCAAGGCACATCATTTGCAGAATAGCTTAAGTCGAGAAGGGCTATCTACCAAAGACCCCCGAGTTCGATTACACTCAGCTTCGAGGGCACATCATTTGTAGCATAACTTAAGTCGAGAAGGGTTATCTGCCAACCAAAGACCTTTGAGTTCGACTACGCTCAGCTCTAAGGCACATCATTTGCAGCATAGCTTAAGTCGAGAAGGGCTATCTGCCAAAGACCCCCGAGTTCGATTACACTCAGCTTCGAGGGCACATCATTTGCAGCATAACCTAAGTCGAGAAGGGTTATCTGCCAACCAAAGACCTTTGAGTTCGACTACGCTCAGCTCTAAGGCACATCATTTGCAGCATAGCTTAAGTCGAGAAGGGCTATCTGCCAAAGACCCTCAAGTTCGATTACACTCAGCTTCGAGGGCACATCATTTGTAGCATAACTTAAGTCGAGAAGGGTTATCTGCCAACCAAAGACCTTCGAGTTCGACTACGCTCAGCTCCAAGGCATATCATTTGCAGCACAACTTAAGTCTAGAAGGGTTGTCTGGCAACAAAAGACCTTTGAGTTTGACTACGCTCAGCTCAACGGCACATCATTTACAGCATAACTCAAGGCTAGAAGGGTTATCTGTGACCAAAAGACCTTCGAGTTCGACTCCGCTCAGCTCCAAGGCACATCATTTGCAGCATAACTTAAGTCAAGAAGGGTTATCTGCTAAAGACCTTTGAGTTCGATAATATTCAACTTAGAGGCAAATCAAGTTTACAGAATAGCTCAAGGCAAGAAGGGTTATCTGTCAATAAAATTGTCGAGTTCGATTCCAATAAACTCGATGACACCTCAATCACACTATTGTCCGGCTGCAATCAAGGTTTTCAAGTCGAGAATAACACCTGGGTTAACCGTGCCTTAGTGACAATAAACCGTTTTTCCGGCAGTATAGCTTAAGACGAGAAAAGCTATTTGTCAACGAAGACCTTCGGAGTTCGATTTTATTCAGCTCGAGGGCCTATCAACCACAGGGTGGAGTCAAGAGACTACATTCAAGTCGAATTTTCCAACCCAGATCTTTAAACCGAGAAGAAGACCGAAGTTGACTACAATTTGGAAATGAGAAGCCACATCCAGATTCAAATTCCGAATTGCAGCTTCAATTCCATATCATTTCAATATGGACTCGACTTCACGACGGAGGAACCATCTACAACTCAATTCGACAGGGAGTTATTCTTCAACTCCACCGAACGAAAATTTGTGTCTTTTTTGTCTTTGTCCTATTTTTCGTTCCACGAAAAAGGATAAAGAGGGGCAGCTGTAGACACTAATTTTCGTCCATATTTTTTATTATTATTTTATACATATATACCTATATATATTATATGGTTTGCAAACGGTTTTTGAAAATATATATATAATATATAGTTTTTAAAAAGAAAACATTTTGAAAATATGGGTAACATATAGTTTTAAAATCATTTTAAAAACTTATATAATATATAGTTTTAAAAACATTTTTGAATAAATTATATAATATATAGTTTTAAAAAACATTTTTGAATAAATTATATAATATATAGTTTTAAAAACGTTTTTTTAAAACTTATATAATATTTTTAAAACATTTTGAAAACTATATAATATAGTTTTGAAAACTTTTTTAAATATAATATATAGTTTAAAAAATATTTTTGAAATATATGTATTATATAATTTATATTATATCAGTATTATTATTATTTATTTTCTTCTTATTATTTTCTTTTTATGTTTTTTCAGGGTCCAAACAGTCCAATAAGTCTCGAGGGCCTGATCCAGCCCAGAGCTCAGATTAGGGTTCCAACGTATGTTCAAACAGGCGCAGCGTAAGCCAAGGAGGTCAAGGGTCAGTCACATCGGCCACCGAGATTTCCGGCCGAGGAGATCGGGACTGACCCATCCCGAAATCCCCGGCCAACTAACCACGAGCACGTTACCGTTATCATCGGAGCAGACCCCCAGTGGGGTGGGTATAAATATCCCACCACGGCTATCAGGGAGGGGGGGACAGCCACGCAAATCTCAGAAGCATAAACACAGTAAACCAAATAACCAAAACAAGATCAAGGAGAACCCACAACGGATCAACAGTAAACCAAGAGTTCAAACCAACAACAAGTAAAAAACATAACCAACCATAAACCCATCGACCAACACAAACAGAAACCACATCAACAACCAAGGAACAACAACAAAACCAACAAGCAAAAGCCAAAAACAAAACGCCGGGAAGACGAGCGGTTTTTAGTGAAAGGTAAAAATCGAAGGTTTAAAGCCTAGATCTACGCCATTTGGAGGTTTGTTTTTGCGTGATCGGTGCTCGGGGTTAGGTTGACGGGCTTGAGAGAAGCATTTTGGTGGGATTGGGTTTTTTCCGACCGCCGGTGGCGACGGCCGAAACGGCGGTGGTGCGTCTGAGTGGGCCACCAGACGGTGGCCGGATATCGCCCGGTGAAGGGCATCGAGAGAGCTTTCTCTCGTTTAAAAGAGGAGAGCTTGAGTGAATGGTGAGAATGAAGGAGAATAAGGGATTTTTAGGTATTTATATACCAAGGACCATAGTGCAATTACAGTATTGTTAAACTCTCTCCGCCGTCCCTAAGAGCTTAAATCGCTTTACAATCTGGTCACTACATGCAATTTGGCCTTTGAACTTTCGAGTTATTCAATTTGGTCACCGTTTATGCTTTTTGCATTTCGCAAATTAACCCTCTGATTTCTGGTTATTTCAATTCGGTCCTTTTTTATATATTTTATATTTTATTTTTGTTTATTTTATCATTCTATTTATTTTGTTCCCTTTTATTTGACTTTATCATTTTTTTATGTTGTTTATTTATTTCGTATTTATGCATTTTTTATCTTAAGTTGGTTTTTCACTTCTTTACAAATCTAACACTTTCATTTTTTTAAGGGTCTTTTTCAACTGATCAAAGGTAAGTAATCTGAATCGGTTTTTAAATTTTAATTTAAGTTTCTAATTTCTCGCAATTAAAGACAACCGATAAATTAATTGGTACCGAAAGGGCGGTTCAAGGGTGCTAATCTTTCCTTGACCGTAACCGACTCCCGAACCCGACACATTTCTGGTACAACGTAGATCAGGTAAGATGGTGTCCGACCCACCTAAATTCGTTTTAAAGTGGTCGGTGGCGACTCCTAACCCATTTTTCAAGTCGAAGCCCAATTCCGGGGCCCAACCGAAAGACGGTTGCGACAATCATGAATGTAGTTCACTTTCAACAAAACCATAGATTAGGCTAAACTACCTATAATTTCCCCCAAAACCCTAAATCGGAATCTATTGTTAGCTCGAACCACACATTCTACATATATTACAAAAGCGATGATGACAATGGAGCTAAGACTTACAATCGAGTAGATCAGATCATGTATAAGCATATGAACACAAACAAACAAAATTAAGAAAAAGAATAAAACGAATTGAAGGGGAAACAAAACACCTTATTCCAAGCAGAACCAAGAGTGGCAGGCTGAGATTGGTTCCAAAGCAAGTCTTGAGCGGTGAGTTTCTTGGGAAGAGGGAGCGGAGCGGCGTCCGCCGTCGTTTCTCGGACCCAATAAGTGTACGACGCCGCCGCAGCCGCCTGCCCATTGCCCTTCTCCGCTCCCCCGTTCTCCATCTCTTTTCAAGCTAACTGTACGGATCCAATAAACTTGGCGCCTGAATTTTATTGAAAAATCAAATTTGATTTCTGGAAGCTTCTTTCTATATTATCATGTGCTCTTAAGCTAAACCTAGAATCTTCCTACACTTACCTTGAACTCCTTTGTTTAAGGCTTAATATAAACGGTAAAGTACTAAAATAGTTACGTTATTTGCATCATTATTAAAAATTATAAAATTATCATTTGATTATTAAAAATTATAAAATGATCATTTGATTATTCTAAATTTATTATTTTTTATTAAAAAAATCAACAATAATCTGATGTAGATATTAATATTTTGTCTAAGATATAATAGTCGTTTATTATTTTGGTATAAAATTTTATCATATCTCAGATATCATATTAATATTCAACTTAGATTATCCTCAATTTTTTAATAAAGAAAAATGAATTTGAAATATAATGAATAATTGAGTGACTGTTTTATAACTTTTAATAATTAAAGGATTCAACATCTGAAATTATTTTATAACTTTTAATAATTAAAGGTTTATTAAAACGATATCTATAGCCAGATAACTATTTATATACTTTATCATAACATAAAAAAATCTGCCTAGAAGTTCATAATTATTTTCTAACTGTTTATAAGTGCACTGCCTCTACGCCATCTACAGAGCTTTTGGATTCTGTCGAGCCTGTGATCTCTGTGGAAATGAATAATGCTCTCACGGCTCCATTTTCACGGGATGAAATACATGTTGCTTTCTTGCAGGTGCACCCTCATAAAGCTCCGAGCATTGACGGGCTGCCGGGCAGTTTCTTAATAACGTTTTGGCCATTGGTGGGTGATGATATTCTTACGTTGTGCCTTGATCTTTTGGAAGGAAGAGTGTCCATTGGAAACAGTAAACGAGACGGTTATTGTGCTTATCCCAAAGATAGCAAGTCCTGAACATTTACGACAGTTTCGGCCGATTGCTCTTTGTACGTTGATCTATAAGACGATCTCGAAGGTTTTAGTTAACCGACTTTGGGCACTCTTTGCCTATTGTGTTGACGATAATCAGGCCGCTTTTGTGTCGAGTCACCTCATTTCCGATGATGTGCTTGTGGCTCATGAAATATTCCATTATTTTAAGACGGCACCCCGGCACCAATCGAGGTGCAGCATTGAAGCTAGATATGGAAAACGCGAACGACCGGATTGATTGGTCATTCCTAAATGCAATGTTGCTTCGACTTGGTTTCGCCCCTTCTTGGGTCTCTCTCATTATGTCATGTGTTACTTTGGTTAGTTATTGCGCCCGAGTGAATGGTTGCCTCACGGAACGATTTCGACCAGAACGTGGTTTACGTCAAGGTGATATTTTCGTTCGTATTGTGCTCTTAAGGTTAATCGTCGTTCCTACATAAGGCGCAACAAGACAACCATCTTCGGGGCCTTCGGATATGTCCATCCGCGCCTCATATCACACATTTGTTATATGCGGATGATTGTCTTTTATTTCTTCGCAATAACGCACAAGAGTTTACACTTGTGAGAAATATCCTTACCGTCTATTGTGCAGCATCGGGGCAACAAGTTAATTTCGCAAAATCAAGTCTCCATTTTGAAGCCAACACCGCTCCAGCAAATTAAGTTGCATTGAGTGCGATTCTTGGTGTGGATGTTATTGCTGAACCGGGCAGGTACTTGGGTGTACCAATGCTAGTGGGCTGTAATAAGACTACGACATTTGGTTTTATTCGGGACAAACTTTTAGACATAGTCCGAGGGATGACAAAGCATCTTTTATCCCATAGGGGACGAGCGGTTTATATACAAGCTGTCGGTCAGGCCATTCCGACTTATCTTATGGGCTGCTTTCTGTTACCTGAGGGGTTGATTACGGATATGGAAGGAAAGCTCCGGTCTTACTGGTGGTCCGGCAGTCGGTCTGAACGGGGTTGGCCAATGGTGGCGTGGAATAAAGTTTGTCGACCGGAAAGGCTAGGTGGTCTTGGGTTCCGAGATTTAAGAACTTTCACCTTTCACTTCTGGGAAAACAGATTTGGCGTTGTGTCCATTATCCTTCAAGTCTTCTCAGCCGAGTACTGCATGCTAAATATTTCCCACAGGGCGTTGTATTCGATGCGAGACTTGGACCTCGTCCATCTTTTGCATGGCAAGGTCTATTTACTGCCGTGCAGGTTTTTCGGGAGGGCCTTCACTGGCGAGTTGGTCAAAATAGTGCAACACGATTGTTTGTGGACCGATGGGGATCCTCTTCTCCAATCCAGCTTGATTCAAGCTATGTGGATAGTGCAGTCGATCCAGTACAGTACAGTGTGGGGAGTTTATGATCCCGAACGAGAATCGTTGAAATGTAGCGCTGGTTGGAATTCGTCGGTCTGCGAATAAAGCTGCCCATACCTTGGCACAATTTGCATTATCTGTTTCTATGTCTGTGTTTTACTATTATGATTCCCCGGATTGTTTGATAATTGTTCTTGTTACTGATGCCATTAATGGCTAATAGTATAAACCACGTTTTATTTAAAAAAAATCTATCTAATTAAAATTCTTTTTTTATTTAGTTGCTAAAGAAAATGAGAAAGATGGTTTAAAATTAAATAAATTAAATAAATTTAAAGTTTTTAAATATATATTTTAAGTTTTTTTAAAAAATAAAAATTTCAAAAAAAGTTAAATATGTCACATTTCGAGTAATTGATAACTCTTTTAAAAGTTGTGACAGATCAAACATTTGAAATAATAACGTTTGTAACATTAAACACTTGTATTAACCAAAAAACCTTAGACATTTAAATAAAAATATGTATAATTTTAAAAAAATTAAATTAAGCCTAAAAATAACACCAAAATATTAGTGTCCGTTCGAGTCAAGGTTGTTATAGTAACCAAAATATTAGAGCCGATCGACAATATCGCATGGTGTTCCTAAAGATTGCTCGAAGTCGATTGGCCAATGAGTCAGAGGCAGATTAGAAAGATGAAAGAAGATATAAACAAACGATTATTGCTAATTATAGCAACTTTGACATTCGAATTATGAATAATTTATCAACGCTGAATCTTATAATTATTTCATATTATTTAAAATTATATTCGAAATAAAATGACAACGAATAAAATCAAAGTAATTTTTTTATCGATCCGAATTTGATAATAATAAAACTTGTTAATTACAATATTCTCCCATTATCCTCGTTGCAAACATGCCAACTCTAGTTAGCTCAGTATGCTTTAGTCAAATTAAAAATTTTAAAATATTTCAATTAAAATAAATATTATTTACAATTTTCAAAGTCATCATTTCGTACCAATCTTTTCCTTGATCTGTTTTCAGATTCGGGTAAATTACAATTTTTTTATCACAACTTTCTTTTTGTTTCTATTTTGACTTATAAAGTTTTAAATTTTCCAATTTACTTATTAATTTTTGTCTATTTTTATTTTGGTCACTTCTTCATTAAATACCTAACAGAGCTATGATTGATTATTTTTCTTTTTAAAGTTATAAAATGTGATCAAAATTTTCTTATTTTATGTGCTTTTTTTGTTTCGAATTCTCTTTGATTTCTCAATGATGAAATATCTTATTTCAAATCTTAACGGTGGAAAGGTGGCGGAGGAGGAAACAAATAGTATATCTTAATTTTATAATGTTCGAATGGTAGATATTATAAATAAAAGTGGTTTGGGGATTCACAAGTATAAGGTTTACAATTGATTGTTGTGAATTTTAAAGTGATTTAGGTAAAAAATCTAAATTGATATTATGATAGGAGATAATGAGACAAGTTCATCGATATTTTGAGTAGTCAAAGAAGAAATTGAAGAATGGTAATTATAGTGTTGACGTGACACAAAAATAAAATTGTAAAACTTTTAGCTTTGGAGGAAGAAGATAAAAAGAAAAAGAGAAAATGATGTAGATATCACATGAATTTTGTGTAAATAAAAAGCAATATATATCAACATACATTTGCGATGTTATATTTAACACCTGAGTGATAAAAAAGAAGTAAATCAAAGTTGTAAAAAGTAAATTGAAAATTGTAGAACTATAGTGATCAGAATAGGAATGATAAGAAAGTTGATTGATGAACTTTGTAAGTACCCTTAAAAACCAAAGTCTTACACTTTACCCATTCTCTTATTTTACTCACTATACTTTTAATTTTTCAATTTACTTACTAAACTTTTGAAATGATCTTATTTTGATCACTCTAAATTATTTTATTATTATTTTTGTATGATATAACATTTATTATTATTTATTATAAAATAATTTAAAAAATAGAATAAAAATAGAACATGATGGATCGCCACTGTCGATCACCGTAAATGGTGGTCGTACAATCTTAAATTTCATGAGTCGTTTCGCCTTAACATTCTAAGTCCGAATACGGCCTCAATTTTGTCATAACTTGCTATGAAATCTATAAATTAGAGATCAAAAACTTAGGAAGCCAAAATGTTTCAGCCGAGGTCGAGGCGAACCAACTCATAAAATTTGAGACCAAACGATCACCATTTATGACGTCGATGGCGGCCAACAATGTCGTCCAATCATCTTTTGCTTTTATTTTATATTTTAAATTATTTTATATTTTATATTATTTTATATTAAATAAAAAATATCATATTATACAAAAATAATAATAAAAAATCCAGAGTGATCAATATAGGAGTAATTCAAAAATTTGGTAAGTAAATTAGAAAAAGTGAAAGCACAGCTAATAAAATATAAGAGAGAGTAAAGTTTGATGAAGAATGATGTATTTTACCCTTATTTGTTTTTCAGAAGACTTTCCGTCATCAAGATCGAGCCTTTTTCATATGATTGATAAGTCTTGAGTTGAATTCTTCAAAAGCAACTCTCTTGTTTAGTACTTTAGTATTAATTTCCATGAAAAATACAGTCAAATCAGCATAATCCGGTTGATTGCAGGCACCCCAATTCTTCATCCTCAGCTTTGATTCATTGGGTGTTGTCTTCTCCGTCTCTCTCTGGTCGGAAACATGGGCTTGTTTGTCGCCTTTTTCGTCTTCTCCGGGCTGATTGTTCCCTCCTCCGGTTTTCTCTACACTGACTCCATCTTCCCAAACTTCACTGTTTCGTACATTCAATTGATCGACAACGATGGCGCCTTCTTGCAATCTCTCAATGGGACCTTCATAGCCGCCATTTCAAACAACCCAGACCCATATCGGTTCTATTTCTCGGTCATCCACTCAGCTTCCAACACCGTCATCTGGACGGCGAACGGCGACGAACCCATATCGAACACGGCCTGGCTTTTGCTGACTTGTAACGGACTCGTCATCACCGATGACTCTGATCGGATTGTCTGGTCAACCCCAAGGTTTGATTCTCCGGTTAGGTCCATTCAACTTGATGAATCCGGCAATCTCGTTCTGAAAGACCAACAAAACGTTTCATTGTGGGAAAGCTTCGATTACCCTACTGACACTCTTGTGATGGGGCAAAGATTGGCCGTCGGAGTAGACTTGTTTGCCGGTGATTACCGGGTTTTGGTAACCGGTTTCGACGGTGTTTTGGAGTGGAATGGGATGACTTATTGGCAGTTTTCGATGGACGATCGGGCGTTCACCGACTTGAATTTGCAGGCGACTTTCGTGTCGGTGAACGGCAGTGGTTTGTATTGGTTCGGAGACGATGGTTCGACGGTGGTCTTCAAGGTGACATTAGCACCTATTGATGCCACAGGATCGGGTTTCGTGTTTGCCAAGTTAGGGTCCAATGGGAAGTTCACAATCAGCAGCTTTGATGGGAACAAATTCGTTCAGAACTTACAACTTCCAGCTGAAGATTTCAGAATTCCATCCATTTGTGGGAGAATCCGTTTATATGACAGTGCTGGAACGTGTTCGTGTCCGTCCGGTTTCCATAATGGAATCGACGGTTGCATGCCGATTAATCCATTTTACACTTTGCCTGAAGCTTGCAACGCAGGTAACTCTTATGTTAATGAAACCAGTGATCAGGTTTCCTATATGAAAATTGGGGATGGCATAGACTATTTCTTGACCGATTTCGTCGAGCCCCTTCGTCGACGGATCAATGTATCCTACTGCCAATTGCTATGCTCTCTGAACTGTTCTTGCCTAGGGGTTCTTTATGGAAACTCTTCTGGTTCTTGTTATCATGTTCGGAATAATGTTGGATCCATCTTTTCGAGCATCTTAGGTCTCGGGCAAGAAGCTTTTTCAGGCTACATAAAGACCGTGACTCAATCTTCTAATGTAAACCCGAGTTCTAAGGCTGGTGCTGGTCGTAAATTATCGATTACAGGTTCGGTCCTGCTATCTTCAGCAGGGGTTTTCGTACTAATTGTCATTGTTGTAGGATTCTTATGGTGGCGAAGAAGAAAAGGGCATTCTGGGGCTGCAGTAGTAAGATTAGGCTCTAAGAACTCGATTTCGGATGAGATCGATTTATTATCTATTGCAGATTTACCAGTGAAGTATGAATACGAGGAACTTGCAACTGCGACTGACAACTTCAAGGCACAAATTGGAAGCGGTGGCTTCGGAACTGTGTATAAAGGTGTTTTACCGAACGAATCGGTTGTGGCAGTGAAGAAGATCACCAATTTGGGAGTTGAAGGAAAGAAAGATTTTTGCACTGAGATCGCCATCATAGGAAACATTCACCATATCAATCTTGTTAAGCTGAAAGGATTTTGTTTGAGAGGCAAGCAACGATTTTTGGTACTCGAATACATGAACAAGGGATCTTTGGACCGTGTTATGTTCGACGATGAATCACCGGTTCTCGAATGGAAAGAAAGATTGGAAATCGCTATCGGGACGGCATGTGCACTTGCTTATTTGCACAGTGGGTGCCAACACAAGATCATCCATTGTGATGTGAAACCAGAAAACATTCTGCTACACGTTGATGAAAATTTAAACCAAAATTTACAAGTGAAGATGTCGGATTTCGGGATTTCGAAGCTACTATCTCCCGAACAGTCGAACCTGCTTACGACATTGAGGGGAACACGAGGATATCTGGCTCCCGAATGGCTAACAAGCTCTGGTATTTCCGACAAGTGCGACGTCTTCAGCTATGGGATGGTTTTACTCGAAATCGTGAGAGGAGGAAGGAATTTCTCAATACAACCACAAACCATCAATTCACGTTGTTCGCCGTTATCGATTCCGAAACTCCGGAGACTGTACTTTCCATTACTGGCATTGGAAATGCATGAGCAGAAGAGATATATGGACCTTGTGGATCCGAGATTGGAAGGAAGAGCAGAGAGCGAGGAAGTCGAGAGGCTCGTGCGAGTGGCCTTATGTTGCCTGCAGATGGAGCCGTCTCGGAGGCCGACTATGTCGAATGTGGTCCGCATGTTGGAAGGAAGTCTTCCGGCGGGGCGGCCAAGAATCGAATCGTTGAACTTTTTGCGATACTACGGCAGTCAATATGCCGAAGCAGTGACCAATTCCAGTGATGGAGGCAATGGGCTAAGTGAATTCATTTTGGCCTCTGATCACCCATTGGACAACTGTTAGTTCATGTTCATTGGACCAAGTAAATTATGTTTAATTTTTATTTTTTATATTAAATTTAAGGCTTAACTTTGTAAGAACTAAAATTTAGACATCATTTTTCTTCAAAAGACGTTGATCTTTTTAATGAAAATGTCAACTAAAACATTAAATTTTTAATAAATTTGACATGACAACTTGTATGATAATTCACGTATATTTAAGGTAAACTACACATTAACCACTTAACTATTGCTTCATTTCATTTGGACCACTGATGTTTTGATTTCATTAATCGGGCCACCAAACTATTTAAATAATCTAGCCACCTATTGTTAAATTTTAACAGAGAAGATGAAGAGACAGTTAAATATTTTGGTATAATTCATATTTGGTCCCCTATTACTTATATATTATATCAATTTGGTTACACTAAAATATTTAACTGTCGCTTCATCTTCTTCGTTAACTTTTAATGGTAGGTGACTTGATTGAAATATTTAAATATTTAGGTGGACTGATTGATAAAATCAAAATATCAGTGATCAAAATGAAAAGATTGTAGTATTTGTAGTTCACCCTGTATTTTATACTAATTTTTCATATTTTCTTTTAAATTTTGAATTTTCATTTAAAAATAAATAAAATTATATTTAATTAAAAATATTAAAATAATAGAAATAAATAAATATTAAAGCCTAAATCTATCATTATACTTTATTTAATTAAATGTATTTTTTTTTGGAAAAATCATACTTTTGAGCCCATGAATTTTATTTATTTTATTTTACCTCTAAAACAAAATTCTAACTCCCCAACTAGTTAAATATGACCCGAACTCGAAATAACCCATCACAAATGACTTCATCCTAAAAATGCTAAAAATGCCATTTCTATTCTTCATCGCCTTTTTCCGAACTAGTATTTAAATATGCGTTCTGTATATGTTCACAAGGTGCTAAAAATGGTCCATAAAAAACAATAAATTATCCACTTAATCCTCGACAGATTCTTTTCTGGGTAAAGTTTGAACAGCAGTAAAAGCCATTTCTATTCTTCATTGCCTTTTTCCGGCTTTTTCGTGGAACACTCTCTCAACCGCCAAGACTAGATTAAAACAGGGATCAACATTTCTCCTCACAAAGAGGGTGAGGGGGAACGGTAACGGATGAACTTATCTCCATCACTTGCTCTCATCCATGGGGTCGTTGCGGTTACATGATTGAGGTCTTACATCTTTTTCATCTTGCTGTGTTTCTCCGGACCCCACGTTTTTGAGACCGTGTCTTCAAGTGCCTCTAGGAAAGATAAAACAGTAAACACGTCTGCAGAAAAAAAAAGGAATTGGTGATAAAATAAATTAACCAAGCAGCACCGTCCGTACCAACATCATTAGCAAAGGTATACATATTTGGAACTGCAGACTACTCACATTTACTTGGATCGATTCCGAACTGAGACAAATCTATCTGTCCGGTTCGAAGTACCTAAAACAGGGAGAAAACCCCCTTGTGAAATTGAACAGTGCCATGTCATGTGAAATAACAAACAAATAATAGGATGTGTTCTAATTCCTCACGTATGTAAACGAATCTACTTGTTGACGGAAAGGAGAGTTCTGAAGCAACTCTAACAAATCCTCCGGAGTCCATTGACCCTGAAGCATCAATAACTTCAAATCGGGAGAACATAAACTATAGAAAGGAAACTGAACAATGAATTTATTCTATACCTCGGGTAAATATGATGCTAATCGCTCTTCCGACGACAAGGACTCGATCAATGGCGTTATTAAGTCTGGCTTCAAAATATCATCCAACCCCAAGCCTGGTAGGATAGAAAAGGCACATAGGTGGCGTCGTGTCAAAGAAAAGGCGGGAAAAAATGTTCAGTTATGTGGACAACTCTTGGGAAATAATAGACTAATCAAAATTCTGGGTACAAGCAAAATGTTAACAGATACGACATAACTTTGAGACTTACACTGACAATACGAAAGACTAATTCTATTTTTACTTTTATATATCTATTGGAAAAATGCTTCACATGGACATGGAAATACACAACATTTAAACTCTTGATCAACTAAACCAGTTTCTGCGGACATATATCAACAACCCTTCCTCTCTCCCCAAAAGAACACAATGCGCAAGCAAAAGTGATTTCAACCATCCACAGGAAGTAGACAGCCCAGAAGCTATGGCCAACTATAATCTCAACAGCTTCGGCATTCATATTACCAGATACTATTAAATATATAACAACATAAAAAAAACATCACCTCCATCTAGATCACCACCTATCTCTGCAACAGATACAACCACAAAAAACCATGTTAGAGCTCAAAATGATCTACTGCGTGCCTAAAAGAAGATGGTAACAAGCAGTCTGCAACTAATGAACTACAACATACCTGCTGGCCCAATACTGCTCAGTATTCTTTGCAAGTCTTCCAATTTAACTGGCCCTGATGAAGAGGTTACATCATTAATAGCTTCAGCCCCTAAGTTCGGAACAATCAAGTTTCCCGCTCTGAAATTGGATGCAAAATTCATAAGAAATTTGAACAAGTAGTAGCTAATATCTTGGGGGGGTTAGGACAATATGAAAACCATTGAAAAAATCTTCCAAGTAAAATTGATTAAAGAAAACACATTATATCCAGATTAAATTGGGTAGTGTTCCATCAATATCCTTTCAAGGAGGCAGATGCGATACAACAAATTGCCCAACATATGCCCGTGAAAATATTTATACCAAGGTTGTTGCATGCTTAAAATTTACCTCCAGGAACTCTAGATTGAACAACGACACATGAGAGAGAACGGTAGAGAGCGAGCGAGAGAGAGCGGTAGAGAGCGAGCGAGAGAGAGCGGTAGAGAGGGAGCGAGAGGGAGAGGTAGAGAGGGAGGGAGAGAGAATTTGAAAAGTCATTCTTCCTCCGATGTGGAATGGACAGGGTTCGTGGATAATCTGAGCAAGAGAGTTTCAAGGAGAGCGTTAAGAGAACTCTTCCATTAGAAGGGTCCAGTCGTTAGGGTCTTTATTCCAAGTGTTAAGAACAAACCAAAGTACAAAGACTCTATGTTCGCTTTTGTTCAATTTGCTAATGAGGCTGGTCTAAGGAAGGCTATTGAGAATGTCAATGGAACGTGGATTGATGGGAGAAGAGTCTCAGTGGGGGCTGCTAAATATCAGAATTATCGAAGAAGGGTAGTTGATGCAGGTAAAGCCCAAGCGGAAGCTAAGAAGTCAACTGAAGGTGAAAAAAAGATGATCAGAAAGGGAGTTGAGTCTCCGAGAAGTATAAGGGATGACAAATCTTACAAGGAAGCACTGGTCTCGGATAGAAGGTTGAGGGATGAACATGAAACCCGGGAGAATAGAAGGGGTAACATGAAAGCTGCAATAGGGATGACGAATGTTTGGGAGACTCATATCACTCCAGATGAATGGAGTTGGATGAAATGCTCTTTAACAGAGATCGTTAAATCATCCTTTGAGTTGGAACTGGTGCAGAAACCTTTGTCCATTGATGGAATCAAAGTAAAGGTCGCTAGCCAGGGTTATGCATGGAACTCTTGTATTATCACTTTCAGGTCAGTTGAAGAGTTATCGGAGACGTGGAATAATAAATAAGATGAGTTATTTTTCTGGTTTGACTAGTTGGCTCCCCTTCTGAATGAAGACGGAGTCCCAATGGCGTATTGCTTGATTGAATTGTATAGAGTTTCACTTTTATGCTAGCACGAATCGTTCCTGGAGAGGCTTGCTGGGAGTTGGGGGTCGTTGGTTTGCATTCAAGAGTCGACCAAGAATATATAGGATTTGACGGCGGCGAGATTGCTGGTGAGGGTGGTGAGCCCTTTTGATGTTCCGAAAACGATCACTTTAGGATCATATGGGTTATCATTTAAGGTGAGAATTAAGCTGGGTTTGGTATTCAAAAAGCTGAGTGTTTGTCTAGAAAAGGCACCAGAGGAGGCTTCAGATGATTTTTAAATGAGGATGCATCGTCAGAGGATGAGGACGGTGGCCGGACAATATTGGTGGAAGATAGAAATGAATAGTCATTTGAGGAAGGACGAATAAGGGTGGACACGTGGATTGAAGAGGGAATAACATATGGAATTGAAGGCGACGTTGGGGGACAACAATCATTGGTGTCAAATCTCCTCGATATTGGGAGAAATCCTATCGAGGAATATGAGGGTCTTGGTCTAAGGAATATTGTGAACCCGAATTTTAATGAACAAACCCAATCATAGTAAAATAGTGAGTCCAGCTCTCCTATTTTGATAATTAAACCTTCTGGGGCTGTAGTGAACATAGCTCTGTTTGGGTTTGGTAAGCAGAGTGATGATCGGGTCTTGCCTCAAGTGGATTTGGAGCGGGACAGATTTGAAGGAGATCAGATTATGGCTGATAATTTGATAGGTGGAGGTGGAGATGCTTCAAATAAAAATGGGGTTTTACGTGGTGGAGGAATTTTTTTAGGAGGATTCGATAGTCCGTAACATAGGGTTTTAATCATAAGGAGATCTTCATCCCCTTTCTCGAACCGTAGCTATACAAGAAGTGGTTGTTGGATCATAAACTTGATCCATTATGGGAGCCTAAACCCAAACCCAAACTAAATTGATGTCATTACTTACATCATTTAATTAAAGATGTCATTGCTTACATCATTTAAGTAATGATGTCATTGCTTACATCAATTTAGTTAGGTGAGAGTTAGATATTTGTTGAATTTGTAATGGTTTAAATTAGTTTATTTGTGTGGTGTAGGATTGTTCTTGAGTAGTATAAATACCCCTTTCCATTTTAGTTTTAAGCATCAAGAAAAATTAAGAGCTTCTAAGTGAGTGAAGAAGCAAAGTCTTATAAGAGTGAGTTGTAGTTATTGTTTTTGAGTGAGAGTGCTCTTGTAATATTTGTTTGAGTTTAAATAAAAGTTGTTTGTGTGAGTGTTTTATTTCCAACAGTGGCACAGTGGATATGACAAAGATTGTGTTCTATGACATAATGTACAGTAGATCAAACAGGAAGAAGATCAGAGTGGAATCAGAGGTGGGAGGTTCTCCGGTGAAAGATCTTGAAGCGAATGACGAGTATATGTCCACTTGGCTGGTTAGCAATATGATGGGGATAACTTTTAGGGGAGGAAAGAATGCCTTTGCCAAGAAATTTTCGGAAATGAGTAAAAGAAGGGGTTTGGAGGGTGGGAATTAATCTCACATCTCTGTATCAAGTGTAAGTTTTGATGTATCATGGTAAGGTTCTCGTGTGTAACGAGGAACATTAGGAGTTTGGGGAGGAAGGAGAAGGTAAGGGCCGTGAGGAGTTTGGTTATCAACAGGAAACCATCTGTTTTATTTTTGCAAGAAACTAAAGTGGAATTGGTGAGTCCGGCTATGCTGAGAAAGTTAGGGGGAAGAATCTTAGTGGGTTCGCTATCACCTTCAGAAGGATCTTCTGGAGGAATTCTAAGTCTATGCTGATGGGAAGCATTACAATACATCTTGAGTAATAAACTGCAGAATAACTGAATCAAAGAAATAGAAAGCATTACAAGCAATAACTCTTTGAGCTAACTTATGAGCGACCTTGTTTGCTTTCCTATGAACATATGTCACAATAAAACTATTGAAAGCAATACACTTCTCACGAATAACTTACATATGAGCACCGATTGTGGAATTATCTCCATCCGCATCATTGTAAAGGTTGACAATCGTTGTGGAGTCCAACTCAATAATAATATCCTGCCAGGCTTCCTCTGTTGTAAGGTTAACAGCCATAGCAAGACTATGCAATTCGGCAATCCCGGTTCATAAATACCCCCCCGATGTGGTAGCTTAACCACCATGGATGGATTCAAATACTTCTCGAGCAACAACACCCACCGCTGCAACCTTGGTATTTGGATTGTAAGTACCATCTGCATTTAACTTAAGCACATGCCCATCTGGTGGTGTCCACCGGTATGGATTAGAATCAAAGGGCCTGTTGGAAAATTACATTCCTTGAGCATTAAGAAAATCATGATGCAATGACCTGGCATTGGCGACGAGCACCCAAGTAGGTTAAAGCCTCCCATCATGCACCAGTGAATTCTTTCCATTCCACACATTCCAAAGGAGAACCAAGAATCCTGCAAAATCATCTAACCTAAGCGTAGCAAGTACAGATGCCAACCATAATAGTGGAGATGTATAAGTTGAATTAAGAAAAACAACTGATATACCTGCCACTCGAATAATGTCCTTTAGGAAGGAACAATCCCGAAACACATGTAAAATTGTTTCAACTTCTATCTTACATAGTGGAAAATACCATTACCTAGTTCAGTTGTTAGCACTTTACTACCAACCGGTAATGCCTCATTTGCTAATCTCTAAGCAAAAATACGTATCTTAGGGAGTACTTTCAGCTTCGCAATCGTCTTCCAAATAGATGAGATTGTTGCGGTTGTATGGGACGATTTCTAGAGCCACAAGTAAGTAGATCGAATGGAATACACACCTGAATCATGACCATACTATACATTCTTTGAAACATGACACTATTGGAGTTTGCAACACTTTATCCACATTGTCTTCTGAAATGACATCACGTACCTTTGCCTGGTCCCATCGCGGTTGGTCCCTGTGCATGAGATCTCTTCATCGCACATTCTTGAGTTGTGGAATGTTGTAGGTACATGTAAGGTTCACCAATTTCATACCTCCCCATGAATCATAAAATAGTCTCGTAATGCGATTACATCACTTTCCATGCATAAGAACACTTGTCTCTAATTTTACATGTAAAATATAAGTATAATAATATAGTTTGGTTTAACGATTTTATTAACAAAGAATGTGATTAGTATATACGTATAGTTTGGGATGAAATTAGAACGTTAAAAAAGTTTAAGGACTAATTTAGAATATATGCCGTAGTTTGGGGATGGAATTGAAATCTTCAAAAGTTTGAGGAGTAATTTAGAATGATAATCATAGTTTAGGAATGAAATTAGAACATTTAAAAGTTCAGGGACTAATTTTAAATGACTCATACTTAGGGATGTCAACGGGTTTGGTTTTTGGTCAACCCAACCCAACTCAACCCAACCCCAAAATATGTATAATTCACTCAAACTCGACCTGACTTGAAAATTTTATATCCTCCATCCGACCCAACCATACCCAAAAAATATATATCCTCTACCCGACTCTGACCCAACCTGAATTTTTAGAGTATAAATTTGACCTGACCCAACCTCGTATTAAATAAGAACTTAATTAAAATTATAATATTTTTTTAAAGAAAATTACATTATTATCCTCGGCTCATGTCGAGTTGGAGTTTTTTCCCCTCCACCCGAACAAACCCGACCTTATGTCTTAAAAATTTGACTTTATCTCATTTTTTTAGAAAAAGAATTCTGATCCTATCAAATCAATTCGGGTCGAAACTCATCAGATTCGGGTTAAATTGTCATCCCTATTCATACTTTTAAGGACATATGATGCAATTAACTCTTTTATAATTTTCAAAATATTGATGGCTAAAACTATCATTTTAAACATCATTGGGTGACTTGTAAATGGATTTTACCATGAGGAATATGACGGATGAAGGCGAAGACGTTGACGTAATACATGCGGAGCCTTCCATTGAAAAACACACCCATTTAACAACTCCCATCTATTTTTAGCTCCACAATCTTTTCATCTCTTTCATATCCGTCCAAATCCCACCGATTCTCCATTTTTCCCCTTTTGGTTCCATCCCCCATTGCTCGAATTCCCACCATTCTTCCGCATTGCCGGTTCCTGGCGAAGGGCGCGCATGCGCCGCCCTCCATCACCGTGCCTCCTCCATGACCACCACCTTCCTCCACCTCCAACTCATTATATTCCCAATTCTATTCGTTTCTTCTTCTCATTCGTTATCCGAACCCGAAACCCTCTTGAAATTCAAATCCTCTTTGACCTACGCCGACAATTTAGATTGGGAAAACAACGACACGCCGCTGTGCGACGCCCACCGCTCGAGTTGGATCGGCGTTGTCTGCTTGAACAGCTCCGTTCTGGGTCTGAAACTCGAGGGCATGGGATTATCCGGCACCATCGACGTCGGCGTATTGTCCGGGTTCTGGAACTTGAAATCCCTAAGTTTTATGAACAATAATTTCGAGGGTACCATGCCGGATTTTAGAGAAATTACGACATTGAGATCGCTTTATTTGTCAAATGCATTCCGAGGTCTGGTTAGGATGATGAAGCTGTATCTATCGGAAAATAGGTTTACGGGCAAGATTCCTTCGTCGATGTTAGGTCCTCCTAGGCTTAAAGAGCTCAAACTTGATTGGAATCAATTTTCGGGTCGGATACCGGATTTTCAACAGACGAACCTACAAGTGGCGAATCTCTCCGATAATGAATTGGATGGTCCTACACCTGAAAAGCTTAGAAAGATGGATGCATCCACGTTTTCAGGTGAGTGATTAATCTTATAACATTTTGTCGTGCATTAACACGAAGGGTAAATTTGCGTTTAGTGCTTAAACTGTCGGTTTTTATTCGTTATAAAATCTAAATGTTTAAGATTTATAGTAAATTATGCATTCATGATTTTAAAATCATACCAAAAGTTTAGTTTTTGTTTTATTTTAATATATTCGTTCAAAATTTAACATTAAATTTTTAAAAAAATAAAAGTTTAAGTACTAAAACATATCAAAATTGATAGTTTAAGTACCGAACGCATTAAGTTCTTAACATCAGGTACTAAAATGAAACAAACTAAATGTTATATATGATTTTGAAAAAATAAAAGTTTTAATACTAAAATTGATAAAAATTAGTAGTTTATGTATTAAATATATAATTTACCCTAACATGAATTATAATATAATGTGAGTTGAATCAATAATCATAAGTGGGGAAGGAGAGTTTATAGGATCAAAGTTTATTTATATATTTTTCGATAACGAGTTTAGAATAGATTAAATAGGTTTTATGAAGTAAAGAGTTTGGTACGAATAAAGTAGTCACATGGTAAATGAATTGTTGTTTAAAAACATTGATTCAAATACCATGGGCTGATTTTATATATCATTCAAAAATCACAAATCAAACTCGAAAATAATAATATACTTAATCTTTATATATTTAAAAATAATTACTATAATAACTCACATCTCAATATTTTTTTAATTAGGTTCCTATTTAACCTAATAAAAACGAGACTTATATATATTTACTTTAGATCAAGTGTAAATTTTTATTTAAAAATTAGATTAAATTTTGAGTGGATAAAACTTTCTTAAATCCAAATTGAATCATGTGACGGGCGAAAGGATGTTCTACTCAGGTCGAATCCAAAAGCTGTCCTTTTCCACCCCAAACCTTTCCATAATTGCATATAAGATCCCTACCATTTTGACCTTACCATTCTTTGGTTATATATGCAGGCAATGAAGATCTCTTTGGACCACCATTGAAGACAGAATGTAACCCTCCTTCCCCTTCCCCCAGCCCCTCCACCGTCGCACCTTCCGCTGCGACCGCCGCTTCACTCGACCCCACCAAGACACCATCATCAACATGGCTTATCATCATCATTTTCTTAGCCGGGACACTATTCATATTCTCCTCACTCACCCTCCTCTTACTCGGCCAGAACGGAGACCGACCACCATCATCTGTGAAGGCTCCGCCTCTTAAATCGAAGAAGAAAACGGAGTCGGTGAAACTCTGTTTCTTGATGGACAATAGGGAGAATTTCGATCTGATGGAGTTGCTGAAATCCTCGGCGGAGGTGTTGGGGAGTGGAAGCTTCGGGGCGTCGTACAAGGTGGCAACACCGACGGGGCCAACGGTGGTGGTGAAGAGGTTCCAACAGATGAACAACGCCACAAAAGACGAGTTTCATCAACATATGCGAAGCTTGGGGAGCTTAAGACACGACAACTTGCTTCCCATCATTGCTTACTTCTACCAGAGGGAGGAGAAGCTTATTGTCTCCGATTTTGTTCACACCGGAAGCTTGGCCGTTCATCTCCATTGTTAGTCACTCATTACTTTGAAAATCATTAAGGGTAAACTATGCAGTTAGTACTTAAACTATCAGTTTTGATTAGTTTTAGTACAATACCTAACGTTTAGTTTTGGTTTCATTTTAGTACCCATCGTTAAAAACTTAATGCATTTAGTACATAAACTATCATTTTTTATCCGTTTTACTACTTAAACTTTCAATATTTTCAAAACTTAACTTTAAGTTTTAAAAAAAAGTAATAAATTAAACAAAAACTAAACCTTAGGTATGGTCTTGAAAAAATTAAAATTTTATGCACTAAAATGGACTAAAACTAATTGTTTAAGTACTAACCACATAATTTACCCAATCATTAATTTTATAATTAATTACACAACACATCCCCGAATTATAATCTTCATTATATTTTAGTCTCTAAACTTTTGAACATTCTAACATCGTTCTTAAACTATGAATTCCATTTTAAATTGGTCCTACACTTTTAAACATTTCAAATTCATTCTTAAACTATGATCCCATTCTTAATTGATCCCTAAAGATTTGAACATTCTAATTTCATCCTCAGACTATCAATATAAACTAATCATGTCTCTATTAATAAAATCGCTATAAAATTTGTTAGCTGTCCTGTTATTGCTTGTGTATAATGTAATGGTATGATGTGATATAAACGATGATTAATGTTAGGTTTAGATAAACTAATAATATAACTTTGAAATATAAAGAGAAATATAAATAATTTGAGGGAAAAAATGGAAAAACTAAAGAACTTTTTAATTTTATTATAAATACCAATTTCATAGGACATGATACAACATTAATTATCATTTATCACGTCATATTTTTACATATACACTTTAGTGTTTACATGATAATTAATAGTTTTATTAACAGAGACATGATTAGGATATATTTGGATAGTTTAGGGATGAAATTAAAATTAGAAATGATAATTTTCCTCGACCTTGATGGGTCGACCCATCCTAATCTAGTCGAGTCAATTTTTTTCTTTTTCTAGTCGAGGATCGAGACATGATAGGTTTTTTATTAAATTTTTTTAAGGTCGTGTTGTTTTTATGAAAGAAAGATGGAACGTGAGGAAAGAAAATGGAACGAGAGGTACCAACATGTACCTCGCAAAGGAAACTGCATAGCAGATTCATTGGCCAAGCTTGCAAAACAATCGGACATTGAAGTGCACATACTGATCGAAACCCCAACTGCTGTATTAGACATGCTGGAAGAAGACAAAACAGTGCTGTAGTTAGAATTTAGGACAATTTTCTTTATTCGCCAAAAAAAAGTTAGACATGAATTAATTTACATATTTAAATTAATTATTATTAAATGCTAATTGTTTTTTAATTCTTAATTACAATTGAACTATATACACACGATTTAATATTTTATTAATAAATAAAATCAACCCATCCATCTTACCATAATATGGCCAGTAGTGGTTTTGAAGTTGGAGAGGTTAATCGAGCCATGTTTCATTAACCTCGGGTGACCATGTTATGGCAAGTGGGATTGCAGGGGAAGGGCAGTCGATCTTCTTTGCTGGTTTACGGTTGAAGTACCAATCACCCACAGACTCTGCAATGGTCTGTTCCAAAAACACCAACTAAGATCAACCTTTTTTAATCCCATAATACATCTCCAGATTTCTGATAATCGTATCCGATTCGGATCCCGGAAACTATCATTCGATTCCCATAATATTAAGAACATTGCTAACCTTATTGTTGATCCTTGGAGAATTGGGTGAATGCCATGTCTCAGCCATCAATGTCTGGCAATGAACAAAGCATGAGTTTATAAACATACCCCCTTCCTTGTCTTTCTCAAGCTTACTTAGTGCCAGGGAACTACGAAAAGCTATACGTCACATCACAAGCAACATGAAATGAGTCATGGTGTCTGTTCAAAATTTTTCTTAGTCTATTAACGACACACACCTACAGACGCAACTGCATGTTACACATCCGAATACATTGGTGGTTTGATCTGGGTAGAATCACATTCCTTAATGTCCAATCTGCATCTTCTCCAATAGCCATGAGGATCTAATCTGTTGGAAACATAGGTGGGCACTCGAGTAATTTTTATAACTCAAACTATTATTGATACGAGGCAAAATATGTTACAATGACGTTATCCCAATATTATAACATTACAACACTAGTTGCGGCTAGTTTACAAACACAACATCGCTATTCTAAGCTTTGCTAAGCTTTATCCTCTCTCTCATAGCTTTGCTAAACTATTTCTCGTTCTTGCTTTTCTAAGCTTTTCATCATATTCCTTCTCTTGTATTACATCTCATACATTGCATATATTTATAAGCTAATTAAACAGACGTATAGTTGGTTCTACATTCTTCATGTCGCCTTATAATTCCTTATTGGAGGATTTCCTTTGACTTTTCAAAGTCTTTGTCAAATCTTAATTCTTAAGTAATTCAAGAAGTTTCCTTAATTGCTTGTCGTGATAAAACTTTACTTGATGCCTCATTTTCCATGTGATTGTTTCCTACACTACTCTTCAATTTTCCATAGATGTATTTTTGACTTTCAAGTTTGATTTCCATGCTGCCAACTATTTGTCATATGCATATTTTCCAACATTATAGAAATCAAGTTTGATTTCTAACACTCCCCCTCAAACTTGATTTTCAATTCCAATCTTTTCTCCACTTATCATTTCCAATCGATTTATTTCCTTGTTGATATCTGCCTCTACCTCGGCCTCTGAATCTCCGTCCACGACCTGATGTTGGATTTTTTCACTTATTTGATCGGTGCCATATGATCGACCACCACGTCCACGAGTTCCTCGTCCTCCTCTGTATCTTCCACGATAACCACCATGATTTTCTCGGCCTCGTGTGTAGCTGCTGCTAGCTTCTCCTTTGTTGACATTCATCTTGCTTTATAGAGCTTGCTCCAAATTTTCATTTTGTTTTATTTTCTGCTCATGGGTTTGAAGTGAACCCACAAGCTCATCAATCGATATTTGGGATAAATCTTTCGATTCTTCGATTGCAACAACCACATAATCGAATTTTCTTGTCAATGACCGCAAACTTTTTTCCATCACTCTAACCTCATCGAGTGATTCACCATTTCTTTTCTTTTCATTTACTACTGCTTTTACACGACTAATGTAATCATCAATGTTTTCTGTATTTTTCATTTTTAACATCTCAAACTCAGTTCTAAGAGTTTGTAAACGTACCTTCTTTGCTTTTACGACACATTGGAGAGATTTTTTACAAAATCTCCCACGCTTGTTTTGCGGTATTCGCATCAGAAATTTTTTCAAAGGTAGATTCGTCTACTCCTTGAAAAATAAAGAACAACGCTCTTTTATCTTTTTTCAGGATTCCTTCAATACCTTCTTTTCTTCATTGATCATGACTGCTTCTGCTGCTGTATTTTCAGGCTCGGTATAACCATCATCGATGATATCCCAACAATCTTGGAAGCCTAGTAACGCCTTCATTTGAATGCTCTAATTTTCATATTTCATCTTTGTCAATCTCGGGATTTGAGGTTGAATCATGTTGGTTATCTTCTTCACCACGTTAAACTCGAACCAAGCTCTGATACCACTTGTTGGAAACGTAGGTGGGCACTCGAGTAATTGTTATAAATCGAACTATTATTGATACGAGGCAAAATACGTTACAATGATGTTACCCCAATATTACAACATTACAACACTAGCCGCGACTAGTTTACAAACACAACCTCGCTATTCTAAGCTTTATTAAGTTTTATCCTCTCTCTCATAGCTTTGATAAAACTATTTCTCGTTCTTTATTTTCTAAGTTTTTCATCATATTCCTTCTCTTGTTTTACATCTCATACATTGCATATATTTATAAGCTAGTTAAACAGACGTATAGTTGGTTTTACATTCTTCATGCCGCCTTATAATTCCTTAGTGGAGGATTTCCTTTGACTTTTCAAGTCTTTGTCAAATCTTAATTCTTAAGTAATTCAAGAAGTTTCCTTAATTAATTGTCGTGATAAAACTTTACTTGATGCCTCATTTTCCATGTGATTGTTTTTTTTACAATACTCTTCAATTTTCCATAACCGTATTTTTTGACTGTCAAGTTTGATTTTCATGCTGCCAACTATTTGTCACATGCATATTTTCCAACATTATAGAAATCAAGTTTGATTTCTAACATGATCCAACAGGGACTAACATATGTTGTATCTGATGATTATTCAATCAGTGTAAGAACCTATAAATAGAAAGGAAATAGTGGTACTTGAACAAGTTACCTGCCAAAAATCATAAGTGGGGTTGACAATGAACAATGGGGTCCTAACGTTTTTGATGATTTCTTGAGCAAAGATACACTGGAAGAGCAAAATCAACAACAAATGAGATTAGGTTAAATGCCAAACGTAAACAAGAAACAAGCAAAAAAAAAACTACCTTGGATGGCTCCATTGTTGTGTCACATTTCTTGTTCAAACTTTTTGCTACACTCTCAACATGCAGACAAGAGATGTCAACAACTTTCAAAATGGTTGGATAATACATGGCATGGTATTATATGAGTATGATACATGGAGATTGAAGCTGAACCTGTAGTTGGATAACATCATCGTAGAAATCACTTATGGTACATTGCCAAGAATATCTGGCCTGAAATATAGAAAATACACGATAAATCATACGGACAAATGAAGCAGTTCATGGTAAATCTGGAAAACAAAAGCATACTCATCAAGGAAAAAGCCTGCATCAGCAAGACACTTGACAGTAGCATCTTTTGGTAGATGATCTCGAAATTCATCACAATGTGTAAGGGTTGCTAAACCTCCAACAGAGCATCCTGAAAGAAGTGCCTGCAAACTCAACAAATTCATCACCTTACAACAATTTCACCTTTAAATATGAACCTTTAAAGAAGAACCGATGGCTTTACCTGTTTCGCCTTAGACAAGCCGAGTGACAAGAGTTCACTCATAATTGCTTCCTAGATGAGTTGGCCTCTGAAGAAAAGCTTTGTTCCATTCTATGAAGAATAAAAATGCAGTTCTTTTGAGCAAAGAATTGTTCAAAACCTAATTAACAGACAAAGTTTACCTTGAACTCACTTTCAGGGTGGCCGGAAAAAGATGCACCATCGCAATAACGTATCTTAACTATGTTCCAATTGTAAAAATCTTAAAAAATAAGGGAAATTACCCATTTTGAAAGAACACTATTTAAAATGCATGACAAAAAAGGAAACTTGAAAACAAGGCATACCAGGATTTTCTTTATTGAATTACACCTCCACCCTAAAGCTTAAAATTTCGGCAAACGGAACCAGGCGGTTCATGTACTTTGATGACCCTAAAGCTTTCCCTTTTCGAATATTGCATGTTTTTATTGAATTACACCAACCTCCACCCTATAAACCAATCAAGGAAACTTGAAAACAAAGCTAAATTCTTGTAAAAATGTCAAAGCACGTAAAATCTATGTATTTAAATCAATGTGGAGAAGCCAATTGTTAGAGCCATATTCAGAGCCCTTCTGAAAATGGTATCCAGGTAAACTTCTATCTAAGCAAATTAAAGAATAAAAATCAAGAAAAATATTTAGTTTTTAAAAGAAAATCGATATAAAAGGTCTAATTTCTGGAGAAGAAAAGTGGATATATGCGTCTGTGGCTTTGGCTCTGTTTAGCAAAGTCGATGGAATGAGACCTTGAGTGGAGTGACGATCGATGGTAGGAGAGGGAGTGCCGGGGTTTCGAGAATCAAAGAGGAGAGTGAGAGTGAAGAAGATGAATGTGAATCCGAAGGCTGCTATGGAACAATCCTTCTTCAAAGCGTGAAGCCTGGGATTTGCCATTGAATAGGAGTTGTTGAAGTATGATGAAGGAGCACGTTGCATGTTGAGGAAGCATGCTGATATGTTCGTACGTGATTGATTCATGGCTAGCATACACTAACTGTTAGAGCCACGAGTGCAACAGGCTGCAACCTCTGTAGATGCAGCAGTTAATGCTGTTAATCAGTTTTGAGTCTTGTTAGAGCAATTACAATTAGTTGAGTTCTTGTAATCTTGATAAGATCTTGTAATCTTGATTGCTATATAAGGAGTGTATGTGATTAATGAAAGCAGTGAAAAAGTATCATCATTTTCTAAAATTGTTCTTGTCAAATACGAGAGTGTAGAGCTCTTTCAACAGGAGCTTTTCCCTGAGATATCTTTCCTTCTTCTACTTGAGGAGTTTAGTTCCTGGTTTAAGCTTTGAGTGTCTTCTTCTTCAAAGGTTCCATTATCCAAGTTGATGTGACTTGGGCACTTCAGGCGGCTATCACATCTGTTTTGCACGGTTTGAGTTGCTTTCGAGTTTCGAAATGAATACTATTTTGGCGACACGCTTTACATCTGCATTTTACAGTCACCGTAAGACTGTTTATGGTTGTGTAGTGATCATGGGATCCCAGCTCCTGAAATTGCTATTGCAGTATTGTTGAGCTTGAGGCATGTGGAAAATCTCATCCTATCCTCATAAAAAATGACTTTTTTTTTTTGCAACGATAAATCTCAAAGATGAGAAACAATGTGAGCCTCTCTCCTAACAATTTATTTTTGAAGATCAAGCAATTTGATTTCATCAAGAAAAACCAATCATTTTTCAAGCTTTGCACCAAAACAGAAAGAAATTCTATTTCTCGATGCGTTGCACTAACCGCCAGCGACTGTGCGGGTGATACAGTTCTCTTCACAAGCTGAATCAAGCCATGCGTTTTGCTGTGCTGCAACCGATTGATTCAAAACGAGTCGTTTTGCCTTCTCGCATGTCGTTGAAGTTTGAATATTTAGCGAAAAACGTATGATTCTCAATTCCATCAAAAAAGAATTTAACCCTTCCACTTTAATCTCGTATTTTACACAAATTTTTCCAATCAAAAAGTATTTGAAATTTATTGTTAGTTTTTACTAATTTATTATATATAATTTATTAAATCATTTACTGTTGATTTGATGTCAATAATAAAATTTTAGGGCAAACTACACAAATTATCCCCGGACTATAGGATACTATTTTATTGAGTCCCTTAACTATTAAAAGTTACAAAATGGTTCCTCGACTATAGTTAGTTGCTTTATTGAGTCCCTCGACTACTAAAAGTTACAAAATGGTCACTCAACCATTCATTATGTTCTAGACTCGTCCTTTTTTTGTTAAAAAATAAATGGTCTTCTGAGTTAGACAGCGTGCTGACTGATATAAGATAGCCGTTTGAAATTATGATATCATATTTTATCATATATCAGTCAACAAGTTAATATACAACTAAGGCTATCGTCAATTTTTTGACGGAAAATGATGAGTTTGAAACATAATGAATAGTCAGAAAGGACTAAAAAAAAGTAACTCCCTATAATCGAAGGATTATTTTGTAACTTTTAATAGTCTGGAGACTTAATAAAGTAATATTCTATAGTCAAGGGACCATTCATATACTCTATCCTAAAATTTACCAGTGTTACATAATTAGATTGACTCTTCAATTTTAATAAAATAAAATTTGTGTTCGGCCGGAACAATTATAAGTTAATGTATGTTCAAAATCGTTAGTAGTTATTAACAAACATAGTTGCTCACACTCAAACCTTACAGGGAGAAGAATAAATTGGTTTGATAATAGATGGATTATATTTGATTTTTGAGTTAGATCTAATATACATTACAATTATTCTTGGTTTGAAAAGGAAGCTGGGATTAGAAAAATGAAACAGATAATATGAATTAAGTTGGTAGCAACAAGTAATGTTGGGCAATTGTCCCTCACTACTTCAATGAAAATGATAACAGAATATTTCTGAGATTCAAAGGTTATTGTCCAAACAAAACAGAAAATGAAACCAGATAATGACAATTTAAGAAGCAATTACTTCCTAAAAGAAAGCAGTTGTCAAGGCTAAGCCTGTCTTTCCCTTGCTTGCGCTCAAAAGCATTTCCTGTGCACAATCGAAGGTCCAGATTCGTCGTACTCGGCTTTCGCAATCCACATCTGCACTCGGAGGGAAGTAGCTCTTCCGGCGTTAGAAATTTTTCATAAAGCGATTCGATGAAAACAACTCGAAGATAACTGCTTACCTGTTGGAAAGTGCTGAGGGATGCCAATATGGAGCCCCCGATCCACACACTGTACTTCCTCTCAGGTGGTGCAACAACCTTAATCTTCATGCTGCTAGGAGCCAACGCTGTGATCTCTTTGCTCATTCTATCAGCGATGCCGGGAAACATGGTGGTTCCACCACTGAGCACAATGTTTCCATACAAATCCTTTCTGATATCGACGTCACACTTCATTATGGAGTTGTAAGTTGTTTCATGGATGCCGGCAGCTTCCATTCCGATCATAGATGGCTGGAAAAGGACTTCAGGGCATCGGAATCGCTCAGACCCGATGGTGATCACCTGACCATCAGGCAACTCATAGCTCTTCTCGACAGAAGAACTGGTCTTGGCAGTTTCCAGTTCCTGCTCAAAGTCAAGGGCAATGTAGGCCAACTTTTCCTTCACGTCTCTCACGATTTCCCGTTCAGCAGTGGTGGTGAACGAGTAACCACGTTCGGTTAAAATCTTCATCAGGGCATCGGTGAGGTCACGGCCAGCAAGATCAAGACGCAAGATCGCATGTGGAAGAGCATATCCCTCATAAATAGGAACTGTGTGGCTGACACCATCTCCAGAATCAAGCACAATCCCTGTAACAAAAACGGATAAAGATCAAACAACAATGCATTACCCTACTAAATACTACCCGCAAAGCATGATATACTTTGATTTCCAATAGGATCTAAAGGACAAAAAGATACGTTTTGTGCACTATAATCCATATTCATTCTTGAAATTCTATGTTAAACCGTAACTGTCTGTTCAAACAATGATTAACAACTAACAAGGTATTGATACAACATTTCGAAACAAATCGAAATAAACCAAAGTTTTAGAATTTAGATTCAAGGAGTATCTTACCAGTAGTTCGACCACTAGCATAAAGGGAAAGAACAGCCTGAATGGCAACATACATAGCAGGGGCATTGAAGGTTTCAAACATGATTTGGGTCATCTTCTCACGGTTAGCCTTTGGATTAAGAGGGGCTTCGGTAAGAAGGACCGGATGCTCCTCCGGGGCGACACGAAGCTCATTGTAAAACGTATGATGCCAGATTTTCTCCATGTCATCCCAATTGTTGACAATGCCATGCTCGATCGGGTACTTCAAAGTTAAAATACCTCGCTTCGATTGAGCCTCATCCCCAACATATGCATCTTTCTGTCCCATTCCGACCATCACTCCGGTATGACGAGGGCGGCCGACGATGCTGGGAAACACTGCCCTTGGAGCATCATCCCCAGCAAATCCAGCCTATCAAGCAATTTCCAAAACCGTAGTAAACACCGAAATCGAATTACAACCGCTTATAGCAACCAGGGATTCAAAAATAAATAGAACACGAGACGCAATGCAACTAAAAATGCGTCCGCAATCGTAATTTGAATCCCTGACCGGAACTAACATTTAAATGATACAGCATTCCAGTTTAGTACCTTAACCAGGAACTAACATTTAAATGATACAGCATTCCAGTTTAGTACCTTAACCATTCCCGTTCCATTATCGCAAACAAGGGGTTGAATATCCTCACCATCAGCCATCTTCTACTACACCAAATACAAACAGTAACATAACATAACATAACATCAGTACATTTGTTGCAAGAAATTACAACAAACCCAGATTAAGTATTATTTCAAAACGTGAACCAAATCCAACATCATATATTGGTGTGAAAAAAAACATAAACTTTAAAAAAAATGGGTTACACCAGGAAGATCAGTTTAAAAGCAAACTAGAAAACAAAGATGGAGGAAGAAGAAACCTTAGTTACAATAGGAGATTTCCCGTGGTGTTGGGGGTTCTCAGCCTCACGTTGTATTCAGAAATGGAAAGAATTAAACAAAAATGAAGAACGAAACAGACAAATATATATAATTAAAAGTTTCAAAACTCGAAATGAAATGCGAATTAAATGTGCAATTCACCAATTCCAGACCATTTGTTTTTTGATGTTTTCTCGGAGATGGCTATCAACGAAGATCTACCGTCCATATGGCTGGGGCCATCTGATCCGGCGGTTGCTGCAGACCCGTAAGAATTTTGGAATTTGGTTGACGATTCTATCCTTAATATTTGTAGGTATTTTCCTCACGACGTGAAAACGAATGATTTGGGCTGGTGGTGATTGTCTGACTGTCCACAGCTTTACAGTTACAGCCCATTTAAAATATATAATTTTAAACGATATGTTAAATTTAAAAAATAATTATAATATAGATTTTTAATAATATGTAATACTTGGATTATAAAACAAGAAAGTGGATTAGAAAAATACAGCGAGGAAATTGGATGAGAAAAATGCCAGAAACGTAGCTTAAAACTAGAGTGGTTTTTGTCCTGAAATCCTATCAAGTTGTTTTATACAAAACCCGGGACAATGTTACGAGAAACTCAATCCGATGTTGATCTCTTTCAGGTCTTCGAGTCGAATCATTTCTGTTTCGATCATCCGATGGAATGATCTATTTCATCAGCTCTATAATTCACCATGATCAACTTTCAAAGTCAATCTAAGCTCCTTTTTCAAGGAGACCCGCCATGGAAATTGAAGCACGAGGGAAAGACCCTGATACATGCATCACAAGGTTCACATCAAAAGAAGAAGTAATAACTCTTCCAAATGATCCACTCGTCCAAACACCAGAGCATCGGCAGACTTGCAACGACTTTTTTGAATGGTATTCTGATCTTATTTGGTCGACATGTCTTCTGGAGATACAATATTCTATCTCTTATCTTTCCAACGGTTCTTGAATCGCATCAATCCGATATCGGGAACTCAATATATAGTCATTTTAGTGAAGACGGTGTATGCAAAAAATCATATACGGGATTTTGCAAATATTGCGAATTTTTAATATTTTTATTGATTATTTGTAATATAATTTAATATAGGATGATGCATTATCTTTTAGGATTTAGATTTATTAATTTATTAGGAATTAAGGTTGAGTTAAACATTATTTTTAGTTATTATTATTTTATTAGGAATTAAAGTTAAGACATGTTTAGTTTATTATTATTTTATTCATTAGTTATTTAGGACCTTTAGAACTCATTCCCTATATCAAGGAGGCTTCATTCAACTTTGTAACCAAGATTTCTTTGATTAATAATACAACGAGAGTTCGTTTTTGCAAGTGATGATTGTCTTGTGCCTTCAAAGCTTCTTCTCCTTGAGTTCTTTCAAGTTCTTGTGAGTGATATTAATCTTCACACTCCAATTTGCCTTTTCATCGCGACTAGGAGGGTTGGTTAGAGCCATATTATAGTGTTTGCCTTTTCATTGCGACTAGGAGGGCTCGATAGGATACTTATCTATCTATTTTTCACAAATCCATCCACACCATCAATCATCTTTACCGTTTACCTTCATAAGGGAGATCTTTTGATTTCTTGGTTATTTTACTTTATTTTCAATTTCTTTATCTTTTGTTATCTTATTCTAATCTTGCTTCTTACCTTATTTTCAGCACTTAGAAGAAACTCTAAAAGACCCTAGTTGTTACCACCACCTTCCCCTATTCATCCCCCTTTGTTCTTCATCGAGTCTAGAGCTTTCTAGGTTTGATTCTTCAACAAGAGCAACGTTCATTAACCCGCCACCGCTTCCCTAAAATTGAAAACGAAGGAATTTAGGGCTGATTTTCTCCAGATCTCATATTCATTCTAATATTAATCTCCAGTCCAAATTTCACCACAATCGAAGTTCATTAGAGCCTTCAAATACATCATTCAAGTCTCATCGGTAGATTCGGTCTAAATTTTTGTCGAATTTCTTGAAAATTATACAGGAGAAATTTCTTATAAAATAATAAATCTAATCCTAAAAGATAATGTATCATGTTATATTAAACTATATTACAAATAATCAATAAAAATATTGAAAATTCGTAATATTTACAAAATCCCGTATAAGATTTTCTGCATGCATCGTCTTCACTAAAATGGCAATATCTTGAGTTCCCGATATCGGATTGATGTGATTCAAGAACTGTTGGAAAGATAAGAGATAGAAGGTTATCTCCAGAAGACATGTTGACCAAATAAGATCAAGATACCATTCAAAAAGTCGTCGCAAGTTTGCTTCTGGTCCAGTTTTATTTTCCAATGCTTGGACGAGTGGATCATTTGGAAGAGTTATTACTTCTTCCTTTGATGTGAACCTTGTGATGCATGTATCATCCTCCCTTTCTTCAAAATGATTCGACGTCGAATCTGAAACATTAAAGGGAGCAACATTAGAATAGTTTAATAATTCATTCACATTATGCTTACCGAATAAATATGCTTTGAATCTTCGAGACTTTGTTCTTCTAATAGGTTCGAGTAGAAACATTAGTCCAAAGAAGCATGTATTATGGACCCTGGTGCATGTATCATTGACCAGAACAACAGCAGACTTGAGACTACTTTTTGAATGGGATCCTAATCTTATTTGGTCAACATATCTTCTGGAGATACAACCGTCTGTCTCTTATCTTTCCAAAGGTTTTTTAATCGCATCAATCTGATATCGAAAACTCAATATATGGTCATTTTACTGAAGACGGTGCATACAAGAAATCTATACGGGATTAATAAGTGATTTTGTAAATATTACGAATTTTCAATATTTATATTGATTATTTGTAATATAATTTAATATAGGATGATGAATTATCTTTTAGGATCAGATTTATTATTTTATTATGAATTAAGGTTGGGTTAAAACAATATTTTTAGTTATTATTATTTTATTAGGAATTAGAGTGCCATCTTAATGACGAAACAAGATTTACACAACTCCACAAGCTTTATAATTCATGCACAAGGAATCCATGTAAATGATGAGAAAGTAAAAGCAATATGAGACTAGCCCACACTATCTTCCATCGCCAAGAGTATCCGAATAGTGCTAGGTGACCCTCCTGACGGGTTACCACCTGAAAGCCCTAATCACTATGTCATATCATTGAAGAGTTACGATTTACGAGAGTCCAAAGGTAAGTATTTTATTACTCATTTTAATGATATTGTAGCGTACTTCTTCTCCTTTTTACAAGGTAAGACTCTTGAAGTTGTCATTCATACCAAACACAACTCCTTTAAGTCCGTAACAGGTCGAGGTAAGCAAAACATAGTAGACGATGCTTTACCATAAAGGTATACTCTTAAGCATACTACTATTCCGATAATTGAACATATCAAAGATGTATATCACGATAACTCAGATATTTCTGATATTTCTGTCCATACTTTTAAAAGTGCTTTTAATGAGCTTTATCTTGTATATGAGTTTCCTTGCCAACTAAACAAGTTCTACAGTCTACAAATCTCCTCCCGAGAATTCTTAATTCATGAACCACATTTAGGAGACTTAAGGGATTACTTTAACAAACCAGTTGACATGGTTTTTAAACACTCATTCTTGCCACACACGAATAAAACCATGGAGAAATTATCTGAAGCAATCATACAAAAAGCCAACAATGGTAGGCGTCATGTTGAATTTCAATATAAACATCAGATTACAAGAATTGTATACAAAAGAGGATTGCAATACTACAAGAAATCAGTTTCTACAAAGAAGAAACCTCGACTAAAATGCATAAAGACACATCACATTGATCCTGGTAAATGTTTCACAAGTTTTTTTTTCAACACATCTAATTATCTTTCTTTTGGATTTTTAGATTCGAGGAAGAATCCTTTTGAGGATTGGGGAAATGATACATGCACCATGGTCCATAATACATGCTTCTTTGGACTAATGTTTCTACTCGAACCTATTAGAAGAACAAAGCCTCAAAGATTCAAAGCATATATATTTGGTAAACATAATGTGAATGAATTATTAAATTAACTATTCTAATGTCACTCCCTTTAATGTTTCAGATTCGAGGTCGAATCTTTTTGAAGAAAGGGAGCATGATACATGCATCACAAGGTTCACATCAAAGGAAGAAGTATAACTCTTCCAAATGATCCACTCGTACAAGCATTGGAAAAGAAGACCAGAACATCAACAAACTTGCGAAGACTTTTTTGAGTGGTATCCTGATCTTATTTGGTCAACATGTCTTCTGGAGATACAACTTTCTATCTCTTATCTTTCCAATGGTTCTTGAATCGTATCAATCCGATATCGGGAACTCAAAATATGGTCATTTTAGTGAAGACAGTGTATGCAAAAAATCCTATACAGGATTAATACGGGATTTTGTAAATATTACGAATTTTCAATATTTTTATTGATTATTTGTAATATAATTTAATATAGGATGATGCATTATCTTTTAGGATTAGATTTATTATTTTATTAGGAATTAACGTTGAGTTAAACATTATTTTTAGTTATTATTATTTTATTAGGAATTAGAGTTAAGACATGTTTAGTTTATTATTATTTTATTCATTGGTTATTTAGGACCTTTAGAACTCAGCCCCTATATAAAGGAGGCTTCATTCAACTTTGTAACCAAGATTTCTTTGATTAACAGTACAACGAGAGTTCGTTTTTGCAAGTGTTGATTCCCTTATGCCTTCGAAGCTTCTTCTCCTTGAGTTTTTCAAGTTATTGTGAGGGAGATTAATCTTCACACTCCAATTTTCCTTTTCATCGTGACTAGGAGGGTTGGTTAGAGTCATATTATCGTGTTTGCCTTTTTATTGCGACTAGGAGGGCTCAATAGCACACTTATCCATCTATTTTCCATAAATCCATCCACACCATCAATCATCTTTACTGTTCACCTTCATAAGGGAGATCATTTGATTTCTTGGTTATCTTACTTTATTTTCAATTTCTTTATCTTTTGTTTATCTTATTCTAATCTTGTTTCTTACCTTATTTCCATCACTTAAAAGAAACTCTAAAAGACCCTAGTTGATGCTGCCACCTTCCCCAATTCATCCCCTTTTGTTCTTCATCGAGTCTAGAGCTTTCTAGGTTTGATTCT